AAAGTAAAAATATGGATTTATTCCAGTTTGCCAGTTTGAAATGACAGGTACCAGATATAAACATATGTTTCCAACACGTTTTCTTGATTATTTATTTCCCTCCAGAACTATTAGATGTCACATAGCATTATTTTAACCTGTCTATACGTTCGTCTTAACACTTCACTCATCGTAGGAAATCAAGTAATAAAACACTGTCACACAATATAAAACTTGGGGAAGGTATCAGACTTTCAAGGTTGCTGATAAGAAACTGAGGTCAGTAGTTACTTGGTCCAGAGAAAGTAAACAGACTCAATCTCATAAATAAGATTATTTGAATAAAGGAACTGGAGTCATTTAATGAATATAATAATGATATTTACATGGTATTTATGAATAAAAGGATCGCAAAAATATATTTTTAAATTGAATATTTTTATTTTAAATTGCTTTTTAAAAATTAATGAGATGGACGAATTTTATCAAATTTCGAAAATACTCTTAGATTAACAAATGATGATGTCATGGTAATTTTAATAGATCATTTCAAAAGTTATGGCGTTGGCTTAGATTTGATATGTAAACATCAAAACATGAAATGTTCTTTTACTTGATCTCATAATTTCGAAATTTTTAAAACACGATTTCTTACATTTAAAACTGGGAAAGGTAAGTTATTCATTTATATATTGGTTAGATCCATGCTAAATTCAAATATGGAGGAATTATGGCATCACCTCGTCATAACTTAATGGGGTAACAAAATTTGTACTTTACCCATACCTTCATCCCTAGAACATTTATTCACTAAAATGAAGGATATTAACTCAATTATAATTTACCAAAGATACATTACTACATTTTAGCAAGATTATAAGCTTCGTGTTATTTAATAAATGTTTTATTTAAGAAAACTATTAAATCATAGAGCATCAATCGCTTATTGAACATCTAGAATTTATTGATTCATGGTCCTCTGATATCTCCATCATGAAGTTTAGAGGGAATATCAGAATAATATTTGTATTTTATATTTATTGCATATATTACCAACAATGAAATGAAAGGAAAAAACATGTGATCTCCTCATCGCACAACCTTCACTTACCCCCATAACATTGAGTGGAAATATTTTAATATTTTAGGTAAGTGAAAGTAAATATTACAGATGGCATGACATATTCATTAAAAATAATAATTGTCTTACAAAAAAGTTTGGTAATCACTTCCTTATTTTAAAATTATTAAAGGAAACGTAATAATTTATCATTAGTTAATTAATAGTAATTAACAAAAAAATTGAACCCATTAATAACCCATAAAATATAACACATAAAAATTCAAAATTTCAACTTGGTCACATCAACATATATTTATTTTGTAACCTTTTTGGCCAATTTCAAATATTTCTGTTAATTTTTATATATTATTTAAGATATATACTTATATAATAAAAAAATGAGTTATCAATTTAATGATGAAAAAAATAACGAAATATAATTATATTAAAAAAGAATACTCGCTTGATGATGAGATGAATTGAAATAAAATGTTGAAATTAATAAAATGTAAAAGATTTTTTTGGAAAAATTTCAAGCTTTATTCAAAATATTCACGAACCATGTTGAAAAAAAAAGTTAATTTACACAGGGTTTATAGTAGTAGAGAGACATATGTACAGGAGTGATAACAGACCCCATGAGCTACCAAAAGTTTACTTAATCATTGACCTGATTTTCGGCAGTAAAGCAGGAGAGTTAAGTTTTGTGTTTTTTACAAGTCCTGTTATCGTTGAATAGGAAGCGATAATTAAAAAAATATTTAATTTAAATAATTAACAATTCCTACACTGTAAACTAGATAAAATTCACTTTAAATAAAAATAGAGTTTGTTATTTTTAGAACCATTTAATGAGAACGTTTGAGCGACTAAACTAATTGTGAGTTAAGTTCTGTTTTAAAAAAAAATCATAAATAATTGTGGATTTTTTTTTTTTATCATCTTCCAACCATAATAATACCAATACCCCACTTTTAGAAAACCTTCCACGTTTAATAAAGTTTGAGTCCACATTAAGAAAGTTGAGGGTTATTATATAAAATGATCCTCCCATATCTCCCATACCAGACTGAAACGACTAGAAACTGCCCGACGTTTTCGAATACTGCAGCACTTACTAGACAAACGCTCTAAGCTTTCAATCAAATACAAACGACTTATATATATGACAATAATAATACCTATTTGGACTTACGGAATTGAGCTCTGGGGCTCCACTAAACCATCGAATTCCTCTCGTATCCAATCCTTACAATCCAAAATCCTTCGTAAAATCCTCAATGCTCCTTACTTTCTCACAAATAAAATCATCCATAAAGACCTTAATGTTCCATATGTTTCCGATTTGGCCCAATCCAGATACATATCCTTCCATAACAAACTGCAAAACCATCCGAACCCTCTCGTTTCAAACCTTGCTTCCTCCTCGATCTCTTATAACCCTCCGAGACGTCTAAAAAGATGGTCTCAGAACCTTCTAATATAGAACTTTAATTTGAGTTCTACCAATGGGTAGTTTCTCTTCATGTTGTATATGTCCTATAACCAATGTCACATTTATTTGTTGTATTTTTCATGTAATACAGTTGTAAATTTCATTAAAATAAATTTAAAAAAATTATATAAAATGTAATTCACCTCAAGTTGTATAAAAAAAATTTATATCGTGTTACCTTAAAGTACCTGTGTTTCAGGAAAAATGACTACAATAAATTGTTGCAAAGTTTTTATTTCTTGTTTTTCCATGATTTGGGATGTATTATATTAAAAAAAAATGCCTAAATACTGTTTTTATTTATAAAAAAATTATTTTACTTGAGCTGAATAGCAATTTTTTCAGTAATAAACCTTAACTTGATTAATATGTGTTTGAAACTGATCAAACGAGGGTGTTTTTCTAAAAGTATAATTGAAGGATAGTCGGTTGTAGTATTGCTGGAAGATAATGAAAAAAAAATCAATAATATGTTTTTATTTTAAACATAACTTAGTTTAGTTTAGCCGTTCGAATTTCCTCTTTAATTGGTTTTAGTATTGACAAGCTCTATTGCCATTTGGAATAGATTTTTCTATTTTACAGTGAAGTAATTAATAATTACTTTTTAATTACTTACGACTCGAAAATGATTAGGAATTTAGGCCTCTATATGTTACACGAAATGATATAAAATAAAAATGATTTAAAATTTTTTCTTAATTTCTTGTTTAAAAAGGAATGCAATCTAATCTATATAGGTTGAAAGAACAGTAATTCAGCTTTTCAAAGGTTTTACTAAGGTTGAATTCGGAGAAAATCCTGAGAAGTTACGAATGCTTCAGTGAAAAAAGCACCGGAAAAAAAGTATTAAATTTAGCAATTTTCGATTTATATAAAAAATCGTATTTAAAGATTCAAATAATGTAACTTTAAAAAATGAATTTAACATTATTTTTCATAATAAAAATTTACATCAATTACTTTACTAGAAGAAGCTCCTTTTGGTTTTTATTATCTAATATATTTTATAACTCATTTAATACTATAACAGATATGTTTTCTTATTCAACACAAAAAAAGAAATCGATTGATACATAGTAACTTGAAATTCCGGCCAAAGAATAATGAATTACTTATTTTTTTTTAAAATTGTTTAATATTTTTTTTTGCCGCGACATGTGCCGAATATTTTTTTATTGTGTCACAAATAACAAATTGGTTGAAATCGGTAGAGCCCCCTTGTGAGATAATAATGTAGTTATGATTGGATACAATGAACTCAAAAATAAAAACATTTGTAATAAATCTGACTAAGTTCAAAAACTTATATAACCTTCCATTGTCATATCTTCACTATCTACTTTATTTCACAGCCATTATATTCGTAACAATTTCATTAATTTTAATTATTATATGAAATAAATTCCTGACACTTTGCACAACATTCCCGAAATTTCTTCCAATTTTGGCATAGAGAAGAAAATGTGTATAAGCGAAAATACTTTACAGAATTCAATACAAAAATGAAATTTGATAAAATTCATACAACATAACTTTTTCACTAACGTATACCTATCCTCCAATTTTGAGCCTAATTGAGCAAGAAATTAATTCTGTACGCAGCATTCATATTGAGGGAAAGGCAAAACGAAAAGTTTTTTTCGGAAAAGTTTATTATTATTACAATTTATAAGTATTTTTATATGAGATACAATATTATTATATTAATATACAATAGATAACCAGCGGACTAACGCTCGATCAAAACACGCATTGCCCGGCAATCAACCACATGATAAAATAAAGTTACTTGGTATAAAATAATTACGAGTTCCCATCTCGGTGTCGGGAAGAGGGAGGACTTTTAACTTTGACATTAATATCTCGCTCTACTGATTCGGGAAAAAAAGAAAAAAAAAACCAATAATTTAAAAATATTAATTTTCTCGAATTTTCGGCAAACCTCTTTTAGTATAATGTGTTTGGTTTTCTTTCAAATTCTGTCTGCAAGAGATAGTCTTTAGTGGAATTTGATACAATTGGTATAAGACCATCCAATACGCACAGTTCCGGAAATTTTTAACAAAAAAAGCATTAACGGTAGTAGATGATAGGCAGACACACAACCAAATTTGTTTGTTAATTTCTACAACGAGTGGAGATTTTCGCTTCTGAGCACAATTTTTTTTTTAAAGGTCCTGTACGAATACAAAGATTCGTTTTCTCGTCGTGAGGAAGCAAAACAAATAATTAAAAACAACAAATTCACTTCACCAGTTCAAGAGATAATTGTACCACTAACATACATGTAGGCCATTGGCTAAAGATGCTTAATTAGGTGGATTAGATGGATCGGAACGACAAAGAAACTCCTCGCCAAGATAGATAATATTATAACTAAAAACAACAATTCTTTGAAACACTTAGAAAAAAGAATACATAACACGTAATGTACGCTGTAAACTACAAATAAATACGTACACATCTTCTTCTTCTATATAAAACCGAGGTACGGTGGGTCCAGTTCTGTCGGGGGACAACATGATTCTGACTAGAATCGTTTGTCAAACGAAGTGGTGGGGAATATAAGAGGAAAGAGAAACGAGGAGAGGGTGAGAACGACGGATTGGAATAAAACTATAGTTTGACGTTTTTGAGAATATGGTAACGGAACACCTCAAGTAGTGGCGTAGGTAAAGCCAACGCAACCGAAGCCACGCATTGGGGCGCAGAACCTGCGGGAGCGAATGCATTAACGGATCTGCTGGAAAATAAAAAGAATTGTTCAATGAATTATTTATTTGTTCGTGATGAGCGTAACAGGAGAGAGCTTGGAAAAAAGTTACGAGGAAAAGTATTTTCTTTTCATCACTTAAACATAAAATTGATAATTATTGTCTGGAGGTTAAAGATTTTTTGAAATTTCCTAGGAGGCTTTTTTGAAGTTTAGGACAAATATATCAATAGCTCTATACAGCATGTTGTAGAGCCGAATAGAAAATTTGAAATTATGAATTATGAAAAAAAAACAATAAATATTGGTCGTTATACAATATTAAGGCCCTCTCTTTCATTTTCCTGAGTTAGATCATGAATGTCTTTTGAACGGTGGACTATCATAGACCTGGAGCCAAGGCCCAATCGACCTGATCGCAGGCGAAGGTATGATTGTAAATTTTTTATTTTATTTCATTTTTTATTGATAAATATTACAATCTGTCTCAATAAAGGACATTTTTAATAGAGTTCTGAGAGCACATTCACACCATATTTACAAATTAAAAAAAAATAAATAAATAAAAAAATAAGCTAACTTCAAATAATATAAAGCTACAAAAGAACAAAATAAAATATCATAGTGAGAAAAAAAAAAAGTAATGAAAATAAACATCTTAGGCGCAGGCATACCTATTACACTATTTACAGTCGGCCACAGGAACTCCGAACCATACTTATCTCCCCACATGTGGAGGGAAAGCAAGGCTTCAGGAGATCCCTGCGCTTCTTCCTCAACCATTTCACTGGCATTGAAAGCCAGCGGAGATTGAGTAAGGGCGCTACAACCACGGACACTCATGGCTTGAGTGGAGAATCTGGCCATTGCCAGAACTCCAGTATATACATGTTACAAAAGGTCACGGGGCCACTGCCGATTCAGCCTGCGAGGATTGTAGGGATGAGTGGTGCTAGATAGGGATTGTGCTACGGGATTAGGGTGATGGGTAAGATTCTGATGAAATTTGGAGAATTTGTCTGGGATAAGATCAAGAATAAGATTGTAAATTACAAAAGTGTATGTTATTATGAGTAAAAAGAATCTAGTCTGCCGTTCTAGAGCCGCTGCTTTCAAAAATGGTGGCTGATTTAAAGAATATTAGGCCAATAATTTAAGGATAGAAACAGATAATTCATTGCGAAAAATGTGAGAAAGGTTTTTATTTTTTTTAACTTGTATATATGGGTTTAGACATATAAAAAAATTGCCAACGCGGGCCATCAAGGAAAAACTTTTTACAGCCAAAGTTTGTTTTTTGCATGTATTTACATGTATTGAAGAATACATTTTTCGCTTTGACACATGGTTTAGGAGCTCATAGGTAAAAAAAAATTAAAAAAACTGACTTTTTTGGCCGTAAAGTTTTCTCTTGGTGGTCCGCGTTAGCAATTTCGTTTTTTACATGTCTAAACCTATATATATACAAGTTAGAAAAATAAAAACTTTTCTCACATTTTTCACAACGGATTCCCCCTTTCGATCCTCAAATTATTGGCCTAATAATCTTTAAATCAGCCGCCATTTTTAAAGCAGCGGCTCTAGAACGGCAGACAAGGTTCTTTTTATTCAGAATCATGTACACTTTAGTAATTTACAATTATAGTTTCGCCTGCGATCAGGTGGATTTTCGGGCCCTGGCTCCAGGGATATCTGATATAAGGTTGAGGTGACTCAAGGTACTAATTGGTTAATTATTTGAGGCTCTGAGGCTCTTATTTGGTTCTTATCTATTTCAATTCTTTAAAACATGTCTTATAGCCTTACTCTGTGTGCCTCTCGCACTATTTCAGTTTCAAAATATATATATATATATATATATATATATATATATATATATATATATATATATATATATATATATATATATATATATATCCTTGGAAAAACCGCCTTAATAACCATGGAACATATTCCTTTAGTGTGTTAAACATCTTCTGAAATACGACTTCTATTCAGGAATTTTCCTGTATAGCAGGTGTTCTTAAACTATAGTATGCAAGAACGCTGTAGACCGTAAGCGAACAAGCAAAGATACATCTGCACCGTAAGGTGACATTTCCATTGAAATTTTCCAAAAAATCAATAAAGTTAAAAGTAAAATAAAGTTTGTGATTTACTCAGATTTTCTTTTTCCTGGGAAGTTGTATGTTATTCTTTGTTATTTGGCAATGATGACTTCCAATTAACAACAATTGCATTTATTTGTTGTATTTTCAAATTGCATGTTTACAACTTAACGTTTCGAGATATTTACTCCCATTTTCGGAACCACAATCCCAATGATCTTGTGGATACATGGCTTAAATCTAATGTGCTCCATCGTCAGGTTCTAATTCAAGTTATAATAAATTAAATTATATAACATCCAAAGCAACATTTTGCTTCTAAACTAATTATTGGGTGTCCGCCTCAGAGACACCCAATAATTCCCTTCCTATGAACAATGTTATGTGTGGCGCCATGTCATGTTTCCGTTGAATGTTAAGAAAGGTAATGTACTGTTTCCACTTGAAGAATTTGCTTAGTGAATTTTCAAAAATCAACAAATGAAATTAATATAGTATTTATAACGCATTGATAGGGCTATATGAAAAAACATCTTTATTATGTTAAAGGTGAGTCTCTTTTCATTACTACAATTCTGCAGAGTTTAAAATATCGTTTTAAGTTAAATTTCATGATTTTTAAACCATTTTCCTTCCTTTTTAGGTATTATATAAAAATAATAAAGACCTTAATGTACCATATGCCGCTGATCTAGCCCGAGCTTGATATCTATCCTTTCATGATAAACTCCAGTCTCATCCAAATCCCCTTGTTTCCACTCTTGCTTCTCCCTCGATTCCTGATAATCCTCCTAGGCGTCTGAAAAGGAGATGGCCTTGTGATCTTCTTACCTAGAATTATTTAGGGAGTGCTACCACTGGGTAGTATCTCTTCAAGCCTGTCTATGTCATTATTTATAATTTGAGCATATTTACTAGTTGTGTTTGTATACAGTTGTACATTTTATTAAATAATAAAAAAAGATATTAAAAGAAAATTTAGATAAAATAGTTATCATGATTTTAGTTTTTATTTTGGATCTTATCTAGAAAATTGTTAGAATTAGAGACATTTTTCCAAAACATGTTTTCTGTCAAAAAGCAAAATAAAAAAAATATAAAAATAAAAAATATCGAGCACAAAATTAATTCAATTTGGGCGATAAAATAAAGTGGATCGACCTTATATCGATTTTAAGTTCTATTTAAAATCCTATGATCATGGTATTGTTTTTGTTTTAATTTTTCGGCGTGATTCCAAACATTCGTGGTTAGATTAATATTCGAGGATTTCTATTGCTATTGATGGATACTAAACGTGACTACGAATCTTAACAGAAGAACAATGCCTTAACGTTTTGAAAAATAAAATATATATTTTCGGATAGCCGAAGCTGTTTTTTTATGAAATGTTAATAATATTTAGTAAATGATTCACGGTGAGCCCTCACAAGTGACTGTCCCTTTCTTATTCCATAACGCTGTTTCAACAGCACACCACAAAAATTAAAAAGGTGCATTAAATTTTATTTTAAAATATTATACTTGACTTTTGGTCATCATTTCGACAAAGAAAAAAAGGTAATAAATAAGTCTTTAATTCGATCTTGTGAAGTTTCCCTATGTCCTTATTTCTTACATTTTTGTCTGTTGTCCAGGTAATATTATATTTTTTTTTTAAATTTAAAACCTAATGTGTATCTTTAGGTTAAAATATATAAATATTTGTTAAGTATAAAAGCCCATACTTACATATAATTTTATTTTATATTTGAAGTTAATATTAATTAAATTATAAAGTTTATTGCATAATGTGTTTCTTTTTTACTTTTTTCTCACATGTATATGAGAAATTCAAGGCAAAGTGTATTAATTGTGAGATCAATTGTTTAAGAAAATGAATACAGATCAGCGATGGACACAAAAATGTTAGTCGGATAAGAAAAACTTTATCTTTTTCAACATAAACTAACGAAGTCCCTCTCGCACTAAATTCTTTCCACTAAGAGGCTGCAGCTCACTCCGTTCTTCAATGAACTATTTTCGGAAATCAACGTCGATTACAGGAGGCGATTTATTGAGTAAGAGGAAATAAAAATTACTCAAATTGAATCGATTCGATTGCTTTATATAGAAGGACAAATTCTCCATAGGATAATAACTCCATTAAAATAGATAACATACAAATTCTACGAAAAGAAAGAAATACTTATAAAATAAACAAATTAAGAAGTAATATATGTCACCGAAAATCATACTGTAAACCTAAAGATGATTTCAAAGCAACAAAGTCAATATTATGCTGAGATATTGACTACAATTCACTAATAAAAATCTTAATGAACAAAGATGATTAGTTTATACTAGTTGTAAATATATTATATAAAACAAAACTTTTTTTTTCAAACGATGAAATTAGTAAATAAAAAGGAATATAAGGTAAACGATTTGTTGTGGTTGTGAGTACAATTATGTTAACATTTCTTAAATTAGTAGTCTAATTACGATATAATTACCTTTTTTCTGGGAAATATTCTTTGTTATTTGGCAATGATTACTTCCAATTAACAACAATTGAATATATTTGTTGTATTATCAAAATTGCATGTTTACAAGTTTAATAAATGTATAATAAACAAATAAAAGTATAATAAATCTAGGTATATAACATCTAGAGCAACATCTTGCTTTTAGACTAATTATTGGGTGTCTGTCATAGTGAATACAATTG